GAAATGTTATTATATGAATAAGAAAAATCATATAAAGATGAAGATGAAACGAAAATGTTCGTAGAAGAACGTGTGACGTATAAATGAATCATTTTGATATAATTTGATTTGAAATAACATTAAAATCAAAATATATGAATCATATAAGCATTATTAATGAATATTCGACGTTATATTTGGAGATTATTCATTATTCTCATCGGAGGTTTCATATATAAGGAGAGTTCATTCTGTTTCCAAATACATCTCACATCTATCTATCAATCTTCTTCTTCTTCCTTCCTTCATTTCTAAAAACTACCTTTTACAGAATGAAAACCGTCATCTTCTTTGCTTTGGCATCTCTTGCCATCGCTTATCCATCCAGCTCTCCAGCTTCGGATCCATCATACAATGCTGCCTCTGATCCAGTACCAGCTCCAGTTGCTGATTCCACTTACAATGTTGCTTCTGCCCCAGTAGTTGCTGCTCCAGCTTACGAAGCCCCAGTAGCTGCCGCTCCAGCTTATGAAGCTCCAGCTGCTGCTGCTCCTGCCTATGGTGCTCAAAGCAACGATGTTTCTGCCTATTCTGTTCCAGCTGCTGCCCCAGTTTCCTCTTACGGAATGGTCGCCGCTCAACCCACCATCATCCCAGTTCCAGTTTATCAAGCTCCAACTTACAACGAGTAAGTTCTTACTAAGAAAAATCCTGAAAATTTGTATTTTTGAGGCCACTCCTTGCCAACACCTGGAGAGGACGCGATTTTGGCCGTTTTGAAGATGTACTCTCTGATCGTAGACGCGATCGTTATGGTGGTAGTATCAGCCCCTACTTCTTCGGAAGCAACTGTGAGTATACTGAAACGTCTCATCTCTGACATCCAACGTGTTTCAGACGGATACGGATACGGAAACAGAATTTCCAACCCTTTCTATGACGGAAAAGATCGCAGACGTGGCCACAAACGCCATGGAGGAAAGAAACATAACCGCAAGCACAATTGGAGCTCATCTTCTACATCTGAAGAAGA